ATAGCAGAAAGAAGTAATTTTAGCTGAAATAGCAGAAAAAACCTACAATTAGCAAAAAAGTAGCTAAAATTAGCACAAGACAGTAAAAAAGAGCATAACCAGAACAAATTGTGTAAGGTTTTGTAAAGATTTAGAAACTATTTGAAGGATTTTAAGGTTGTTGAAAATTGCTCCATTCAAAGTCAACGGGGGAGAAAAGTGGCTGAAAAGTTGAAATAGCTAAAAAAAGTAAAAATAGCTGAAATACCAAAAGTCATAGTCGACATTGCACGAAAGAGCTGAACATTTTGATATATGAACGGTTGAAGTTGCACAAAAATTGTGGAACGAGAAAGGTGCCGAAAAACGTACAGAAGGAAAAAATGATCTCAAAGCTGAAGCTTAAATAAAAGCTTTAAAAGTAGCCAAACATTAGCTAGCACAATGTATGCAGAAGGAGTTAGACTTTAAAAGATGTAAATAAAAATCTAATAAATTAAAATAAAAACATTAAATAAAGGAGGATCCTAAATCAGTGCTCACAACTAACTGTGGCACACTGAAGTGAACACAAAGCACACGCTCCTTTCATGAAAGTGGCCCGTTTAGTTTCACAGATGCAAACAGTCCAGTGTTTACAAGAAGCTGTGTGGAAGGAAGCGGCTCAGTTCCCTGACTGGATGCTGGAAGGGAGGTGCCATGAAATGTAGCTGTGGGTGGAACCAGGAGGAAATCATCAACACAATCATATCAGATTTAGATTTCTGCTGCAGCTGATTTGATTAGAAGTGATTTGATGTGGGCTGGATGTCAGCTCAGGGGTCAACACTGGAAACAAGACTACTTCTCTGAGCAATACGCGAGAAAAATCTGACCCCGGCGTGCTGTTGACACATATGACAGGATTGTGGCAGCAAATAAGGATTTGAGAGGCGGTCTGCCCGCAGATAATCGCATTTGGAGGTACAGATGACAACAAGCCTGTGACTCCTCAGCAGCTTTATAGGAGCAGGAAGCCTCTGACTCAGCCTGAGCCCCACTCCTCCGAACAGCTGACCCCAGAAACCCGCTCCCCAAAGCGGCCATTAAATTTTAATCATGTTTATACCGACGCTCCCGTTATTTCACGTGCCTGAAGCGACTGAGCACGCGCATGAACGCTCGTGTAATGAAACATACATGTGTGCGCGCGCGCCATCCAGGCTGCCAGCTAAGTTCCAAGCATACTCACTGCGGCTGTGGCGGTGTGACCCCCGCGGTTGTGAAAGAAGCTCTGTGTAAACGAAGAGGAGGGAGGGTGGAAACAGGCCGGTCAGATATCCTCTCCAGTTTTTCGGCTCGTGCTGAAGCTTGAAATGACGCCTCGTGACGGAGCGGAGTCTCAGCCGCGGTTGAAGGCTGCCTCCGAGGCTGTCAACCCGTGTTTCCTGCCTGTCTCTCCCTCCTGTCCGTCTGTGCCAGGCTCCTCCACTGGAGACTTCCCCGCTGCTCTGCTACTCCGGCACTCCTCTGACGTCAGAGCGGCGGAATACGTACGTAATGGCCCCTTTCTGTATGGCAGGCCGTTGGTATATATAATCTAACCCACTTTTTTTCAATGACAACAGTTTTTACTGTACTTTATGGAAGCTCATATCCGCCACTCTGAAGAAGAAACAAACAAAAAAAAATTCTATCTCATAATTTTGAGATAGCTAAGTCATAATTATGAGATAGTATCTCAAAATTATGAGATAGCTAAGTCATAATTATAAGCATGCCTTAACTATTTCATAATTATAACATAGTATCTCATAATTATGATATAGCTAAGTCATAATTATGAGATAGCTAAGTCATAATTATAAGCATGCCTTAACTATTTCATAATTATAACATAGTATCTCATAATTATGATATAGCTAAGTCATAATTATGAGATAGCTAAGTCAT